AACTCTGCAGCTTGGTTCTAGCAAGTATTTGGCAGTGATTACGTCTTCGCCCATTGTACTACTGGAATGTAATTTTGAGGAGATATAGGGTTCTCACTTGCCAGTGAAGGAGTGAATTGCTGCAGGTTGCTCAGCAGAGGTGGAGCTGCCCATGGCTGAGGTGGTTAATCTCTTCTCCCCTGCCTGCCCAGCATTCACCTTTGCATCACGCAGTTGCACACAAAGCCTGGTGTTGCTGAGCAGTTCCTGCAAGATGTCAAAGACAGCGTTGAGGACATCATGAAGGACCTCAGTGCCAAGACCACAGGCATGGTAAGGAGACCAGTACACAGTGAAGCTGTGCTTGGCATGAGGGTGTTTCTCTGGTGGCTTTCATCATCCTGTGTTAACCACCTCCTCTTCTCTGCTTAGGGAGCCATCTATGGAATGGCCCAATCCGTCCCAGACAGGAGCTTGGTCGCGGAGATTTCCCAGGCGTACTTGGATGGCCTCTACAGCACAGATGTTCCTTGCAGTGAAAAGCACATGAATGGCTCTCCCAGCCACCACTGACTGTAGTGCAACAATCAGTGCCTTGCCAGCTTAGCACTGAGGTGGTTCTGAAGAGTTCCTAGGGAAAGAGATTGCAGTTAGCCTTTGTTCCTACACTTGCAGGTCTGATGGTGTGGTTTGATCTCAAAAAACTCCTTACCTGCTCTGAAATCTGCCTTGTTTTCATGTCCATCTTTAGTTTTAGGGCTTTATTTCCCTTCCCCCTGCCTGTTTTCATCACGACTATTGATGGTGAATTGAATGTCCATTCCACAACTCCAGATTCCTCAGGTATTCTGTGTGTCACTTCATTCCTTGCTGTTTCATCTCCTCAGACCTGGTATTCAGCCCCGGCATCCAGCCAAGTGTTAGATTTGAGTTCTCCTCTTGTGTTCCAAAGCTTCTATCTTCCCAGAAGTTGAAGGTAGATAAAGAAATAAGAGTATTTTTGTTTTCTTTTTGAGTATTCCTCCAAGCTACTGCTTTTAACAGACTGTGCTGGGAGCCTTTTATCTGTGTAATGCAGAGCCGATAAATTGGCAAAGGAAAAGATGGTCCTGTACTCTTTTTGAAATCCCCTCTGGAGATCTAGGTCAGACTGCAATCAATATCTGCTGAGGGTTGGGGGAAAAAAAAAAAAAAGCCCCAACATAAAATCCTTTCCTGGAATCTCTTGGTTTGAATTAACAGCAAAAATAGAAACTGGGTGAGGTGGTGTTAGGGAGAGGAACTGGATGGTGCTGAAAAGCCCAGGTACATAGGGACTGTTTTGCTTCCCTACCTCTTCTAGAAGACATGCATTGACCACCTAGAGTGCTTGCTGTACCTTGCACAATTGTGGAGGGATGTGCAAACCAGTGATTTTTAGTCAGAACTTGAAGGTTTTGCACTATCTCACAATGCTGTGGTAGAGTCAGCCAGACCCTGGCATGTGTCACCACCGGGGGCTTCACGTGCAGGTGGCTGCCACCAAAGCTGACCTTTTTACCATGATATTTTAGGAGAAAAAGGTGACTTTTGTAACAGTAGGTAGTCTCTGCTCTTTGCACTGATTCTTTTTAAGGCACATTCTCAAAAGGGCATTCACCATTGTGCCTTGATGCTTCTCTTGGCATTTTTCTGTGGGAAGCCAGGGAAGGTTTTGAGGGCTGAGCTGTTGGCTGCAGCCTCTGCTGTGGTCTTTTCCTTATGGTACTATACTGAAAAAAAAACCTCAAAGGCAGACTGGCCTCAGAGAAAGTACACTTGCCTACAAGGTAAAAGAATAGTTGTATTGAGCCAAGTCCCTTCACAGTATTACAAAGATGCTGGTGTAGTTCTGAGAGGTTGGTGATAGGATGCAGCAAGTTGGAGGAATTCAAGCCTTGGGCTTGTGGCTCCCCCTCCTTGTTTTTCTCTGCTGTTTTTACAGTGAGAGACTTTTCCCAGTGCAACTTGTGAGGCAGTTGTGGCCATAAGGATGAGCTAGAATCTCTTGAGTTTACTCAACAGCTGTGGAGTTAACTCCTGCAGGGCTTTGCTATGTGTTTTCTCCCAGCTTGTTGCTTGCTACCGAGAGTTCAGTGGGGCAGATCTCAACGCTTGGGGGAACACTTCACCTTGTGCAGGGTATCTGAAGGCATCTGTCTCTCTGCTAAGGTGAGTTTGGCAACCCAGAGCCTTGGCTGGCCTAAGGCAGCTGAAGCACACGCTTGCACATAGTCACATCAACAGGGCATGAAAAGGTTACTTCATCAGCCACTGCACAAACCAGTGGGCAGCCCAGAATACTTGCTTTTGAACAGGTTTCTTCTCAGTGCTTAGGAGACAAAAGTATTTTGGCCATATGCCTTTACATGGATGACTTCAGGAGCCCTTTTGAAAACATCTCCTTTGAATTGGCTTGCTTAAGTCTCTTGCTGGTTGTCAGTGTTTCTGTTGCACCTATTTATTCTCCTAACGACTTGCCAATGTGACCATTACTGCATCTCTGAGTTTGCTGTCCTTTGGAGACAAGTCTTAAGTGTCTGGCTACTGTGATGGTTCTCTTTGGAACCCAGATTTAAAAACAAACAAACAAAAAAGGGAGGTACTCTTTGTTTCTGCTTTAAAACAAAGAGGGAAATGTCTTGGGATGGAGTTAAGGAGAGAAAAAACTCCCTCCTCTCCTTTGGTTGCATTTTCCTCTGAGGAAGTAGATGGATCTAACAGATCAGTGCTCCATTTCACATTTTTTGATGTATTTGAAGATGTTATTTTTGAAATATGTATTCAGTTCTGGGCTTCACTTATATTTGTGGGTTGAATTATTTGATGTGTGTTTGTTCTGTACTGCCAATGGTCTGGAATGGGCCACTGTAAATGTACCCCTGTGTAGCCTTTATTCATCTAACATGTCATCTGCATCTCCTTTTATCATGCCAAATGGTCTTAGGATTAACGGGCTGTGTAATTATTTCAAAAGGAAGAATTTTATGGACTGGATCATGATCTTGAAACTGGATGGTACCTTAGACCTGCTGGGATCTTTGGGACTATGGATTTGGGAGAGATTTCGGACGTGTCGTGTTTTCTGAGCCCAATCTGTTGATTGTACAAAGCACTCCCAAGGGGATTTGTGTGCTTTTAGGTACTAGTCTGAAGAATATCCAGTGGGATGGACCAAGAAGAGATGTGTGTCTTCATGCCATGGATTTCATCTGCACTTTTCTGAGGACTGGGGGGGGGGGGGGGGGGGGGGGTTTATATGTAACATGTGTGCCGAGCGCTTAGAGACCGGCACAGCTGCAGGTGGTGTGCGGGGCGGGACACGGTCCATGAGCAACATGACACACAAGCAATTTGGTGCCCATGGAGGATTTCCTGCAGCCTAGCCTGGCTGCTTCCTCCTGTTAAGCAGTTGCAGAAGAGCTGCAGCACAGAAACTCGCTCCTATGGCAGCAGCACCTGCTGGTCTTGCTCCATAGTTCATGAGGCTCTGACAGGTCCTGTGTCTCAGGTACCAATGGATTTCATCTGCATTTTTGTGGGGACTGGGGGGGGGGGGAGGGAGGAGTTGGAAGGTTGAGTCCAACACAATAATACTGCGTACAACACAATAATATCTTGCCCAATAAATACACCTTGACTTTGGAATCAACAAATAGGCTGAGTTCATCTGAAATGGCTGAAGAGAGGGTGAAAATGGGCCTAATTTGTATTAAAATGGTGCATTTAGCTATCTAGGCTCACTTGAATTCTTCTTTTTCTGTTGCAGTGCTCATCTGAATGAATGGGGACCTATTGCTCCTGGCCTTTGCTCATGCAGAGCCCAGTCTGTGGCAGGGAGAATGGTTGGTGAATCATGCTAACTCTGTCTGAGGGCTGCTCTTTCCTTTTGTCAAGGCCAAGGTGTCCATGGCCATATCCAAGGATGCTGAAAATTGTCATTTAAGAGCTATGGATCTTAATGCAGAACTTGAAAAGGGGTTAACAGATAAATAACTGAATTGGGTGTTTGTAGCATTTCTCCCAGGCTGTTTTGCTGAAAGCAGCTACTGTTGGTTTCACAGCAAATTGTTCCTATTGTACCAAAGGCTCCCTGAATACTGAGGTCTTGGTATTACTGGAGTGATGACACCAGTAAATCCACCTCCAACCTCTTCTGGGAGGTGTTCCACTGTACCCCCTGTCCTGTTGCTTGCACTGCTGTTGTGCCTTCCCTGTGTTTCTGCCTTCATTATGGTACAAACGTGGTTTGAGCATGAGCAGGTTTGAGCTGATCTGCTCTGGCTTCGATCATCTCATTCTCTTTCAGACCCCGTTCACTTGGAGGTGCAGGCCTGCAAAGGCACATGCCCTTTCTCTGTGGTGCTTCATCAAGAAGCTTTTCCATAGCAGAAACACCTTCTTGACAGCACTCAGGCCAGCACCTGCCTTGGAAAAACCTGTTGATGTAATTGTGACAGTGAGACTTCCTTCCCAACTTGACATCAGGTTGACCAAGACCTTTATTGTAAACATTTTCAATTGGTATCCAGTTAAAGGCTGGTTACAGTGGGGCTGGGATCACATGCTTGCTTATAATACTGCTAGAAAGAGGTGACAGCAATGACCATATTGCCCATCACAGTGGGTGGTGTGGAGAAACCAAAGGCTCATGTACCACGTCATGGGTAGAAAGCAGATTGCAGTAGGCAAAGAAGCAAGGAAACAATGGTTGGATGGGGTCAGGCTCTGGCAAGATTTACTGGTGCAGTTGTGTAACATGACTCCTGGTGAAAGGGCAGCAGTTTGTGAGCTGGTAGCAGGGAAGAATGGAAGTGGCAAGATCAGAGGTGGGTATCTTGAGTGCCCAAGAGGTGCCTCCACCTGAGCAATGGCAGGGAGCTTGGCAAAGTTAAGCAGCCTGGATCCAGGAACTAGCTTGGAAGTGGGGGAAGGCTCCAGGTGCAGCCATCCAGGGCACTGTGGCAGTGACAGAGTTGATCTTTGGCTTAATGTGTCTCTGGTCAGGAGAGAGAAGCTGCAACCTGCTCGATGAAGCTGGCCAAGTTGATGTCTCGCTCCGATAAGCCTCCACACTCATGGGTGCTCAAGGTTATGTGAACCTAAACCAGGCAGACAGACAAACCAACCAAGAGTTGCTGACAGAAAGAGCAGGAACTGTTTTCCCCCAGTGTTGCAGTTTGCATCCCATGAGGCAGGTAGCACTGTTACTTTCTCCAGACTTCTTAGCAAATTCTTCCGGGGGTGGGTGAGGTGCTTTTAGCATTTTGCCTGGTTTTCTCCTTCCTACAGCTTGTCCTGCCACCCCTCTTGTGCCCACTGTTCAACTCTTTCTCCAGAAGCTTTCCCCCTTGCTGCTACTTCTGATACTGATTTTAAAAAAGCACCACTGCTACCAGCTTAGAGGCAGCTACTGCTGCTGGTTTATGCCTGACAAAAGGGGTGTCTTCCCTGAAGAGCTCCTGTTGCCCCCCTCTTTCTTACCTTATTATACACGTTGAACCATTCAGGGTGGTGATCCAGTTTTTCTGCCTGTAGAGCCACTCTGGTCATGAAGCCAAAGGCCTGCCCAGTGGAGCAAGAGGAAAAGTCAGCTCTGAACCACTCCCCTTGCAATATATTGTGTTTTCACCCAGTTGTTATTAATTATACACCCCATGTTTCTAGGTAACCCAATCAAATGCAAGGCCTGTAATGTGTGTTTTATCTTTTTTGGGGGGTTTTCTATGGGTTTTCTTCTTTTTGGGGAAATTTTCCCAGACATACCATGTGCTGGGTTGAGCACTTTGGTGTCTTGGGCAGGTTATCTTGCTCAGGCATTAACATTTCAGGAGAAACATGGGAGGGGTTTCTTTGGCTGAGCCTTGCAGGTGGGATTTGCTGCTCTGCAAACCAGCTTTGTCAAACTCTTGTAGCACTGATGCTCCTACCCGGTTGAAGTCCTTGAAGTGGAACTCTTTGAAGATGGCATCTCTGCCTTCCACCTCGTTCCACCCCACAGCTCTCAGGTTTGGTAGCAGCTGCTCCCTCTCCTCTGGGCTCAGCCTGTGGGCTTTTCCTGCCTGGTACCACAGAAAGGAAAAGGAAGAGGAGCAGCTCAGTGTAGCAGAGGTAGGATGGAGCAGGTGTTCAAAGCAGCAAGGGCATCCCATGGGTTGTGGAGCTACAGGTGGGTGGGAGGGTTAGAGGGTGTGTGTGGATCTGAACTGGGGGTGCTGATGACAGGGGACATCTCTGCTGGCTTCTGCTCCCTGCCCTGGGTGCATCCTGCATGTGCCTAGGTCAAGTGAAGATCAGCTTGTCTCATTTGTCCTCTCACCTGCTACCACTTCACCAGGGTACACCTGTATCAGCACAACCTGAGGTATGACAAATGGTGCCTGGGGGAGGTTCAGCTCCCAGATATTATGTAGAATCTTCTGGATAAAAAACAACCACCCTGAAACTCTGTGATGGCTTCTAGAAGTGAGAATTGCTTCACGTTTGTGAAATACCTTCCCAAAGCTGGAGGGCTTTGTTCGCAGGTCATCTGCACTGGGAGCCTTCTTTAGAGGAGAAAGAAAAGAGATGAAGCAGAGAGGGATGAATCACCCTGAATTGGAGTTCAGCTCCTTTTCAATCTCCCTTCTGTTATGATGGAGTTGAAGAGGCTGTTACTGTCTGTGAGTGACAAGAGGGAGGAACTGTGATTTAGTGTCTTCTGCTCCTGGGCAGAGCTGCTCTGTGGTTTTGAAGGGGTGTGTGGGGTGGGCAGCAGCAGTTCTTGGCTTTGGGGAGTGAATATGGGCAAAGATGAAACTACAGTGGAGTTCTTGGGGACAGGGGCTACCCAAGCCTGTGTATCTTCTAGCTCAGTGGGGAAGGCGGGAGTGTTGCTCTATCTGAAAGGTTATCTTGTGGCAATTAAAATTCCATCCTAGTGGGTGATCTGACTTTTTGAGTTGCTGAGGTTTGTTTGGTTTTTTTTTTCCCCCTCAATGAGTAAGACCCAATGTTTCTTTGCAATTTGTTTTCCTTTTGAGCAAAGCCTGGCAAGTTAGACCTGAGTCCCAACAAATGCAGCCCACTGGTTTGCTCAGCTGATTAAGATGCTTCTTTTGGGCATCCATGCCCAAAAGCAAAGCCTCTCAAGGGGCTGCTGGCCAAAGATGGGGAAACTGTCCTTTCCTGTAGCTCCTCTAAGTTGCATGTTGTACAAAATGAAAGAGGCAGCCAGGGAGCTGAGCTTTTTGTGGCTTCTTTTGAGGAAGATTGGAAAGATTGCACCTGATTGCCATGTTACTGGGTCTCCTAAGCCATGGGGCTATGGGAGTGCCTACCTGTCTGTATAGCTGTGGTTGTTACACCTGGAAAAAGCTGTCTTCTTGCAGGGCACTTGGTGAAATGGAGAGGGCTGAGGTGCCTGCTGAGCTGGGACTGGGATGGTTCCTTCCCCCTGGCATCATGGCTGTGTCCTCTCCTTCTTCCACATTGGGGAAAAAGCCTTCCTCACCTGTGCAGGCACCACCAGTGGTGGGCTTGGATGGTGCCCTTGCCAGCCCTGGCTCCACCTGTGGTGGGCTTGGATGGTGCCCTTGCCAGCCCTGGCTCCACCTGTGGTGGGTTTGGATGGTGCCCTTGCCAGCCCTGGCTCCACCTGTGGTGGGTTTGGATGGTCCCCTTGGCAGCCCTGGCTCCACCACCCCATCCCTTGCCCTGCTCTGGGTTTGGAGGGGAGGTGATGAGTAAACAGGGCTTAGCACAAGAAACCCTCAGCCCTTGCCCTTTTCGTGCTGATGGCCTGATAAGCTGGGAGCAGGTAGCTTAGCAACTGACTAAAGTGGTGACAGAGGCTGGATCTGCTGGGGGGGGTGGGCAGGAGTGGGTGAGGTGCTGAGCCAGGGTTCTGGACCAGGGCTTTCCTGAAAGGTCTTGTATCAGAAAGGCTGCACCAAGCTGTTGCTTGCCTGGAGCACAGGGGGGCTGGATGCCAAGCAGAGCAAGAAACCAGGCTGCTTGGAAGGGAAAAGATTTCATTGTTTTCTGACCTCTTTTCTGCACGGTGACTCCATGAAGAGGATGAGCCTCGGGGCTTTTTCCAGGCCCAGCACCAGCGGGAGGCAGGGCCAAGCTGACATTTGGCTACCGTGGATGGAAAACCATCTCCTCTGGCTGTGTATTGTGGTGACAAACCCTCTGCCTGGAGCACCCTCCACACAGACCACCCCACTCCCTTCCCCTCCTCCAGCCCAGCACACACTGGCCAGCCTGCTGGTTTTTGTTGCTATGGCACGTTCATGCTTTCATGTGCACTTCACTCCTTTAAACCACGTTCTTCTCATTAGGGAAACGTTAATTATTTTGTTTTCTTTTGCTGGATCTCAACTGCCAGGGCACTGGGATTTATTTTTTTTTTCCTTTTTGCCAGCAGGAAACCCGAGTAGGTGGGATTGTGCAACCGAGGCACAGGAACCAGCAGAGGAAACTGGGAGAGACCTTTGGGCTTTCTGGGAAATGAAACAACCCTCTCTGCCCAAATTCCCATCTCTTTTAAGGGTGCTTGGCACTTAGGAGCAGGTAAAGGTGAGAGCAGGACCTGCAGGCAGGGCTGGAATTTATTCCTGTCCCCTCAGGTGCCACAGGAAAGCTGATTTCACACCACTCAGGGGAGGTTGCACCCATGGGGGTGATACTGGTGATAGTCATAGGATACTCATTAATAAATTCAATAGAAAGATAGACTCATAGAAACTTACTGCAATAATGAATTTGCTCTACTAAGGGTTACTTTTCAAACAGTGTGCTTTGTGAAACTATCAGTCCATGATGCCAAGCATCCCACAGGTTGTGATAAACGTCAAGTCTTAGAACCTGTGGCACCCACAGACAACACTGATATGGATTCTGCCCCAGCTGGACCATCTACCAGTGGGAGACTGGAGCCAGGACAAAGGAGGAGAGGCAGGACCAGGATGGGAGACAGGACTAAGGACTAGAATCAACCAAGACCCCCTCAAGCATGCAGAATTACAAAGACAGCCAACTCAGGACATGAAATGACTGCGTAAAAGACTTCTGGGAGCTCATTGACATGGAACTGAATGGTGTATGTGAGTTGGGGTGTTTCACTCATTGGTGGGAGCACTCCTGGTGGAGAATCCCCAGGGCTACAATAAAGAATCCCTGCTCAGTAACAGCTTGTTTGTTGTGAATGGGTCTGAACCTGGAATCCTTGCCCAGCCTCCCGCTTGGGTGAGGAGAGTTAGAAAGCAAGGGGGTTTGGAAGCTCCCAATTTTTCTTTCCCTGGTCCTGCAGCATTTGAGAGGGGGGAACCCTTTCCCTTCTCCTCCCCGAGGACCCGAGCCCTGCCAGCCCCAGCTCCGGCAGTTCAGCCTCAGCCTCCGGAGCTCCCTGCGTTACTGATTAACCACAGCGCCGAGCTCTGCTCCTTCCTCCCTTTCCCTCCTGCCTCTTCCCACAGGCCGGAGCTGCCTCTCGAAACCTTCCTCACCCCTTCCTTTGCAGCCTCCTCCGAAGGAACAGCAAGGATTTCCCAGCAGGGACTTACCATGACCCTCGAGTTCCCGTATCCTCCTCCTCCGTCCTTCCCGGTGCCCGCAGTTCCCTCCGGCTGCAGCGGTGGCTGCTCCCGGGAGGCGTGGCGCGGGGACCGGGTCCACCCACGGAAAGCTTTCCTGCCCTTTCCCAACACTTCCCGGGCACCTGGGATGTCAAACAGAGTCTCCTTGATCCCACGGGAGCAAGATGTGTCCGCAGCCCTGAACCCCCCCACCCCTCTCTCACCTTTAGGGCCGCTTCTTTTCAGCTGGTGCAGAAGGAAAAAAGGCAGAAGGGGGATGGAGAGGAAGAGTGCGAGTGCCAGTGCTGCTGGCAACACGTGTGATGAGTGGGACAGTCCTCCTGGTGTGCCCTCCCAGCCCTTTGGATCTCTTGGGCACAGCCTGGGTGACACTGCAGCACCAAGAGCCAGGTGGGGTGTGTGTGTGTAGCACAACACTCCTAAGCATTTTTAAGGTGTTTTCTCCCATTGCTGAGGGAACTGTGACTCCCTGGTTGTCCTGCAGCTCATCAGCTGCTAAACCCACCCACGTGCTGGGCAGTTTTCCAGTGCTGACCACAATTCTGGGTTGTGCTGATGTACAGAAGTTCAGCACCTCGCTGTACCCTCCTGGCTTTACTTTACCCTTGGATTCTGGAGATTCTTTAATGCAGTGTGACATACATCCCTTGGACATCCTCTTGTGCACTTCTTGTTTCTTGCTGGTGCAGCTGGTGGGTGCCCCAGAGATGATTTGTTCCTCCAGCAGGCAAGTTGGAAGCAAATTCTCCCTTTTTGGCCTCTGCAGATTTGCTTGCCAGGGTAATGAAAAGGAAAAATGAGCAGCTTTTGTGTCCTGGGAGACCCTGTGTGTTTGTCCAGGGAGAAAAAAATAAGACTGGGAGAGCAGTGCAGCACCTGAGGAGAAAAGAAACGTGTGCAGATAGGAAGCTGGAAGCTTTGATGTGGATGAGAAGTGCTGTCGGGTTTCCAGCCATGAAATGAGGAGGTGGGATTGTTTGTAAGGTTGGGAAAAGCCAGCAGATTGTTTGCACATCAGGACTGGCAGGTTAAGCAGCAGAATCACCTCTGAAAATATTGGTATAAGCAGGAGGTCAAGGAAGGAATCATGTCCTGGTGGAGCTGCAGGTGGACTGGTGGGTGCTGCAGGTAACAGCAACGTTCAGGTGAGCTTGGCTGTGGGTTCCTCAAGACAATGGTGATGGGGACTTGTTGGGGGCCTCAGCTGCACCTTTGCAGGTGCCAGTCCCTCTGTTGGCCTCCTTGTTGGTTTGGAGATGGGGAGGAAGCAGGTGTCCCAGCTCTCCCTGTACCCCACTTAGCTGGACTTTGTTCCAGCTGGGAGCTGATCCTCTTTACCTTGCTCATCCACGTGCTGCCAGTGCAGGGCACTTTGCAGACACCTCAGCTCATGAGAGGTGAGAATTTCTCTGGTTGGGGAGAAAAAAGGCTTCATTATACTGTGTCTACTGATTACCCAGCTCCTTTGGAATGGCATTTTCTCTCCCAGGTTATAAATCAAGCCTTCAGTGCCAACCTCTCATGGAAGTGATCTCTCTCAGAGGGATGTGCTTGGGTTGAAAAGTGGCAGCAAGGCAGTTGAGGCTGTCCTTGGTCTGTGGGGTGAAATCGTGGCTGGGAGGACCCTTTGGCTGACCAAGTTCCTGAAGCTCCCCCTCTGCACGCTGCTCTTTTGGAGATGGGACTCGTTAGGTTTGCTTTTAATGATTAATTGGGTGATGTTGGGCAAGGTGTTTGCTCAGAGCCCTGTGCAAGGGCTGTGCTTGTTTACTGGCAACAGATGTTGATAGATATTTTTCCCCTCTTTCCTCCCTTCTTTGGAGTTTTTCCTCCTAGTTTAGGGCTGGGCTTAGGTCAGTGGCAGCTAAATCCACTTCTACATGTTTGGAGGGATTTCTCCCACCACTCACTATTTTGATTTTGTCAGTACTTTTAGAACAAAATATACCTGACCCTGAAACCTGCTCTGGTTGAGCTCCATGTCACCATCTCCCATGACAAGATTTGCCTTTTGAATTCCCACCCTTTCTCATTTCATGTTCCCTGAAACGTTTTCCTGGTACCTTTGAAGGAAGAGGGACACCAGCTTCCTTCTGGTGGTTGCAACTTGCTTCCAGTCACAGAAAAGATGTGGAAAGCATGATCCAGCTCCCTGCAGCATCTCAGGACTCAACAACACAGCAACAAGCAGGTGGGTTTTTTTGGTGCTTTTTTTTTTTTCCCCCTCCCCACATGGTTTGATTCTTCTCTCTTTTTATTTCCCTACGGTCTGTGCAGGCTCCTCACTTAACAGTATGAAAAATGGGCTCAGTGTCATCTTCCTGCAGGTGTCCTCTGCCAGGCATCCCTTGGGAAGAGCTGAACCCTCATGAGCATGGTTCAAGTCACAGGAAAGTCACTCTGGCTTTGCATCTTGGGCCCTCCTTACCAGGCAAATGGGATTAAAGCAGCAAGGAAAGTGGTGGCTTCTCCCACCTTGTTTGCTTCAAGGCAGGTTTGCACCAGAGCTGCTGACTCAACAGTGGGATTTCACTTGATGTCACTGGCAGAGAAGAATTCTCTATCTCCAGCAGGTTCCAGGGCTGGGTGTTTGCTTTAGATTGTACTTTGGAAGAAGCTTCACTTGTGCTCTCTCTGCTCTTGCATTTCCCAGCTCTGCTTCTGGTTCTGACTGGTGCCAGGGTCAGGCTGTCCCTGCTCCTGTTTGTTTGCTTCAACTTTCGCTGATGTGCTTGGCTCTTCTCCAGGTTTGGCACCATGAGCTGTTCCTTCTTCCCATGCTAAAGGCTTTTGAGAGAGGAGGATG